CTTTAGCTAATTACTTAGTACTGTATTTACTACCATTTCTTTCAAGAGTATGTTTGCATTGCAAATTTTTTTTTCATTTGGGGTATTATTTATTGGGTTTTTACTATGAAGGGAAGGGTTTGGTTCTCTTTCCTCCCTTGGTTTGCATCACGTATAAAAACTATCACATTCCTCTAACTATAGGGAGTGTCCATCTACCTAGTCTGGACATACAAGGAAATACCTAGGGTAATTTTTATTAGTATTATATTAATATACATGATAAAATGCCATGTATTTCCCTACTTCATGATCACACTGTGGTTATATATTTGGCTAGATCAAATTTCAGTGCTTTATATGATGTCATGACTGCGGAAAGCTACTTATAAGTGAGTCCTGAAATAAATCATATATTTGTTTCTGCACAACTTTTGGTAATAAAATTCTGGGTTGAAAATAAATTTTCATTCAGAACTTTTAGATATTATTTCATTTTATTGCTTCTCATGCTGTTGTTGAGAATTCTGAAGATTCTGGTTCTTGGTCTTTTTTTGTATTTGACTTTTTTCCCTTCTAGAGACTTGTAGGATCTTCTCTTGTTCCGAGTGTTCTATTGTTTCGTAATAATGACAGGAGGTTTAGGTCTGCTTTTACTTGGTATTTTGGGAACTCATGTCCTTCAGTTCTGGGAAACATTCTTGAGTTCTTCATTTGAATTCCTTCTGTATTTCCTCTGTTCTCACTGAACCTTCTATTATTCAGATAACGAATCTCCTAGACTGGTTCTCTATATAGTATTTATATTTTTGTTACTATTTGCTCTCTTATATTTTTGTTCTACTTTCAAAATAAAATATTACCCTAATTTTATCTTCCAATCATTGAATTGAATTTTAAAATGATCATTTTTGATTTCCAAGAGCTTCAAGATACTTTTTAAAAATAGCTTTTCATTTTCAATTCAAGATTGAAATATTATCTTTTAACCCTTCGAGAATACTGACAGCAGACGCCCCTCCCCTGAGCTTTTCCCTTTAAGTGACTGATTTTGTCTCATTCACATCAGATATTGCCTACCATGCTTCAAAATTCTAGTCATACTTGAGGGTAGGAATCCACAAAGCTCAGTGGGCCTTATTGATTGTGACCTTGGATAAAAGATGATTGCCCAAGGGCCGGGGATTTAGCTCAGTGGTTCCGACGCCTTTCTCTCGCAAGTGCAAGGTCCCAAGTTCCATCCCCGGTACCAAAAAAAAAAAAAAAAAATGATTGCCCAGTTGAGTTGGGGCACTCTGGTGTCAGTTTCCCTTTTTCTCTGACTACAACAGTCAGATTCCCTAGAACAATTTTTCCAATAGACTGCCTAGAAAGTGCAGGCCCTTCTTGCCAACATGCTAGAAGCTCAGTAAGTGAAGTGTTCATGGATCTCAGTACCAATATGCATATTTTTATTTAATCGATCTTCTATCAGGTTAGTAATTCTCTCCTCAACTGGAACCCCCAGTCTAAGGACCCTCTGTTTTATTCTTGTTTGTTTGTTCATTTATTTATTTAATTTTGGTACCAGGAATTGAACTCAGGACCTTGTGCTTGTGAGGCAGGCGCTGTGCCACTGAGCTAAATCCCCAGCCCATATCTATATTTTTTTGAGACAAGGTCTTGCTATGCAGTTCAGGCTGGCCTTGAGCTCACTATGTAGCCCAGCCGGCCTCAAACTCTTGGCGATACTCATGCCTCAGCCTCCCTAGTGCTGAACACTTGTGCGCCACCAGGCTTCTCTGCTTTATTCTTTAGAGGCAAATCTCGAGTTTACCTTCAGGGCTCCATCATTGGATTTGCATCTAAGTTGCAGGTTGTTTATATATCAGTGAGAGTAGACAGGGGTGTCTTTGGCTTTGTAGTCATGCTTATACTCGTGGGAACTTCTGGTTACTCATCTTGCTCCTGGTTAGCATTCTATGAGGGTCATGTCTGCAATCTTTCCATCTCACCTCCAGGTAGTCTCCAGGTTTCAGGCTCTCAGTAGCATGCTTGTGCATTATGAGACATGATAAGGAAGCCTCAGGCCTGTTCAACCAAGCGACATATATGGCTGTCTCTCCTGCTCCTACAATACACTGTGCTGGGCATGAGAATTGTGTGAGACTTCCTGCTCCCTCACATTCTACCTGGGAAGTAGGACACAGGCTTCATGTACTCTTGACTCTCCAAATCTCTCTGGAGCTGTACTGTTTCTTTCCATGGAGAGTCAGTCTACTTGAGTCTATTTTTTTTAATACTCTATGATTTCTTTACTGAGGGCAAATATCATCCTTATGCTACCTTCTTTGATATAAAAATTTACAGTGATTTGTAAATCTGTAAATGAAGGTCATTTATAGAGTCCCATCATCATGCCCTGGAAAACTTTTTCAAATGTATTTGGGGGGCATTTCTTTAACTTTATTTCTTATTAGTACATATTTATCATACATATCAATCACATTCATCATAGGAAATTTGTACCTGTACATAATATATTTTAATTTTTCCCCATTTCCCTCTCCACCCTTTAACCCCTATTCGCCTTCCCATTTACAAAAGCTTTGTTTCCACTTTTTTTCCTCCCATTCTCTTTTTTCCTTTTCCCTTCCTTCCATTCCTTCTCTCCCCTCCCAGTTCCTCTTCCCATTTGAATATGTTCTTCCCACTTCTTGATATCTGTCATCTATTTTGGTCCTTATTTATGCTTTTGGTTTCTCACAGAGGAGAAACAATACAGTATTTAAACATATGTGTCTGATTCATCTCACTTAAAAGTATGGTCTTAAGGTACATCCATTTCCCTAAAAAAAATCCCTTCTTTGTGGCAGAGTAGTACTCCATTACACATAAAAACCACTTTTCTTTATCCATTCATTCGTTAATAGACATCTGGGCTATTTCCAAGATTTAGGGATTACAAACTGTGCTGCTATAAACACGGGTGTGCATATACCACTGTGGAATGATGTTTTAACTCTTTTGGGAAGATACCAAGAAGGGAAATAGCTGGGTCAAATGGAACCTCTAGTTTTAGTTTTTTGAGGAATCTCCATACTGATTTCCGTAGTGGTTGTACCAATTTACACTCCTACCAACAGTGGAGAAGGGTTCCTTTTTTCCCACAGCCTTGCCAGCATTTGTTATTGGTTGATTTATTGATGATAGCTATTGATGAATAAATATACCCCAAGTCCTTCAGGGTGTTGAATTCTCAAGTTTCAAAGCTTAAGCTATGGTATCTCAAAAGACATTTTCCCCAAACTATCATCTCTGCTAAGTGTTTGCAAAGCTTATTTGGAAGCCTGGTGGGGATTAGGATGAGGAAGTAAGTGTGTCACTATTAGGCCTTTATGCTAATCTCTTTTATGTTCTCATGTATGTAAGATTTGTCTTTTTACCTGGTTGTTGGGTTTCTTGAGGGTGGAACTATACTTAGAAAGTATTTTTTTCTTTAGAAAAGGACAAGATTTTCTTTTTGTTTTTGGTCTTTTGAGACAAGGTCTTGTTATGTAGTTCAGGCTGGCATTGAACTCAGTACGTAGCCCAAACTGGTCTAGAACTAGGTGATCCTCTTGCCTCAGCCACTCGAGTGCTGGGGTTACAGGTGTGTGCCACCACTTCTGCCTGGCTTGGAAAGAATAGCATTTTATTTATTATTCACAGATCTTTTGAAGACCTTTAGCTTTGTATCTTCATGGTACATAACTGTGTTTACAATGTAGTAAACAGTTAAATAATTGATGAATATGCAGAATATATGTCTAAAAAAGAAAATAAACCTTTACAAGATTATCCTTATGTAATTACAAAAAAGAAACATGCACTCAGGAGGCTGAGGCAGGAGGACTGCTAGTTCCAGATGACAAAGAGACCCTATCTCAAAACAAAACAAAATGAAACAAAAAAGAGGAACATATTTTGTTGACCTAGAAAAGAATAACTACATGAATATAAAGGAGTGGCTGAAATTTTAAAAAGAACCTTTATGTATGGGTAAAAAATGATCTTTCCTTACTAATTTGACATTTCAATTTTAAGGTCAAGTTGACAGGTCTATTTTTGAAACTTAGCCCTCAAGGCCGAAGAGGACCAGTTTTCCTTTCTGCATGGCCTGTTGCTCCAGTGCCAGGAATGCCAGTGCCTTCCTTTTTTAGAAAATGCAGCTGCTGGTTTCGGAACTATTCTAGACAGTCCAGACTTCAGCAACAACTGCTGAGGGTGGGGATGGGAGGCAGGTGTAGGGAAAGCCCACTGTCAGGGAAGCTCCATGCTAACTAGGGTAGAGGTAAACATATCAGTTGAGTGCACAGACATTTCCAGGATGTATTCTGAGAAGTGACAGGGCCAGAAAAAAAAATCCATCCTGGGCTACAAAATGAAGGGAAACTTTGTAGTACTGCATGATGTATTTATTGAGTGTGAGTTAATTTTTTATCATGCCATTGTTAATTGTTTCCTTCAAATTAAAAATAAATTTGAAGTCTCTCCTAAGTACAAATAACTGTCTAGCCCCCAAGGGATACAATGCAAAGATGAGTGAGATACAGCTCCTTCTTCCAGTAAGATTTGCCACAGATTTCTTCATTACTTTTTACATAACCCACTAGCCATGTTGCTCCCCAATCTACAACTTCTCAGTCACTCTTCATTTTCTATGGGACAGGACAGAAATCTGTTTAATTCCCAAGGCCTTTCATGATCCGATTCAGACCATTTCTCCAGCCCCTTGTGCTTGTGCTTGGCTTCTTGTTGTGTTGAACAGACCACGTCACCATATGCTTATATAAGTTTGTGCCAGGGTTGGAACTCCTACGTACCCTCTCACCGTTTAGTGGAAATACCACATTTCTTATAACATACCCTGCGACTTCTCCCCTTTTGTTCCAGGCTGTGTTAGGGTCCTTTTCTCTGTATTTCCTTTATGTCTATCACTACTATAGTTCTTAGTGACATAATATTGGAATTATTTCTACCCAACTTATTTTTTCCCATAGTGGGAAACTTCCTAAAAATGAAACTGTGTCCTTTCATCTTTATATCTCCTGGACATGCCATAATCCTGGAATGCAGCAGGATCAGTAATGGCTTGGTGAGTGAACGAAGTGAATTCATTCATTCAACATCCTTTACTTTTTTGATATATCAACTGCTAAAATTTTAAAATTCTAGTCTTCTTTTTCTCCATTGTTACTCATCAATTCTCTTTCCAGGATGCTGTCTGAAGGGTATCTCAGTGGACTTGCCTACTGGAATGACATCCATTGGAATTGTGCAACTTATAATGAGCAGGTGAGTGAAGAAAAGGAAGAGGAGACAAGTTCCGTTGCTGCCCTTTCCTATTCGACTGTGGATGAAACACAAGTCAGAAGTCTTTATGTGAGCTGCAAATCTTCTGACAAGTTTATTTCTTCAGTGCATTCAAGAGAGAGCCAATGTAGCATAAGTCAGAGAGTCAGAGTGGTGCAGACAAACCCCAATCCTGTGTTTGAAAGACCAAACTTGGCTGCAGTTGAAATATGTAGGGACCCTAGTAGAGAAACCTATTTAGTTCCACCTTCCTGCAAAAGTATTTGCAAGAATTATAATGACTTACAAATTGCAGGGGGCCAGGTGATGGCCATTAACTCAGTGACAACAGATTTTCCCTCTGAGAGCAGTTTTGAATACGGTCCTTTGCTGAAGTCATCTGAGATCCCTTTGCCCATGGAGGATTCCCTTTCCACTCAGCCCAGTGACTTCCCCCAAAAGCCTATTCAGCGGTACTCATCCTACTGGAGAATCACCAGCATCAAAGAGAAAAGCAGCCTGCAAATGCAGAAGCCTATTTCAAATGCAGTGCTGAATGAGTACCTGGAGCAGAAGGTGGTGGAGTTATATAAACAGTACATTATGGACACCATGTTTCACGATAGTTCTCCTACCCAGATCCTGGCATCTGAACTCATCATGACAAACGTGGACCAAATCAGTCTTCAAGTGTCCAGAGAGAAGAACCTGGAGACTTCAAAAGCCAGGGATATAGTCATTGGCCGCCTATTACAGTTAGTGTCCACTGAGATCAGCACTCCTAGTCTCCATATTTCTCAGTACAGCAATGTGAATCCATAGAGAGGATTCATGGATCCATACTTCTGTTCCTCTCAATTACTCAAATCCAAAGCAGGAGGGGGTTGTGAAAGGGAGTCACAAGCTAGAGAAGCAAAGGTTGGTCAGAAATCAGGTGTGAATGAAAGTGAAATCTTCGAATATTACCCATGATGAAGGAATATGGGAAAAGGAGCCATAAGGAATGATTTCAAAGAGAAATTTGTACAACAATAAAACAGAAATAAAAATGGTCAGATAAGAAAAAGGAATAGAGAAATTGGAAAAAAAGACAAGCGAAATAAAAACAAACACTATGGCAAATTTAAAACCCAAAACGTTTCAGAATGGAATTAAAAATATACATTTGTTACCAAGTAAATTCCTTTGAATTGTTTCTTGTTGGGGAAAATGGACTGCAGAATGCTTCTATATTTGGGTGGAAAGACAAGTTCAAACACTTTTTAAAGTATATGTTTGTATCTCTTTTCTCTATTCTGTATCAGTAGTTCATTTAGATATACTTTGTAAATATTAAAGCTATATCAACTTGCAATCGTGTTTTTATTTTTGAATGATCATCTAGCTATAGCTACAGCCACAAAGCATCCATTCAAACCCCCTAATTCTGTCTACTGGTGGAGATGAAGTTTTCTAAACAAAAAGGAACCACAGAGTGAACAGGAAACATTTAGTTATATTTTGGTATGTATGATTTTCTTGGTGCCATCAAGTTTTAAAGGTAATTATGAATGCTATGTTTTTTACTCATTTTCCTCTTCTTTTTCTTCATGTTCTCTTGACCTGGAGCCAGTAAAAGCTCTTCCATATCCTCAAAAGGAGGTTACAGATCTTAGGGTATCATCTTATCAAATTCTGAACCATGGGGCTGGGGATTTAGGTCAGTGGTTCCGCTGCCTGCAAGCACAAGGACCCCAGTTCGATCCCCAGTACCAAAAAAAAATTCTGTACCATGTATCAAATTCATTTACTACCATGGTAGCTTCTTCCTTGGGGCATCCCTTCTCTAACTCTTTCCTTGAGCTTAGGACTTGGCAAACTATGGCTCATTGGCCAAATCTACCCTGCTGCCTGCTTTGAATGCCTGTCAGTTAAGAATACCTTCTCTATTTTTAAATGCTTTTAAAAATTGAACAAATACCTAATTTATTATCAGCAACAATAAAAGTACATAAAATATGAAGGAAAAGGATAAGACACCTACAGATTCAATGAGACCTTGTTTGGATACCATTTCAAACAAACTTCAAGAAACAAAATTAATATTTATAAAACAATAGAGAAAATATGACCCCTAGATATTTGTTATTAAAGACTTGTTTATTTGTGATGATAATATAATAGCTATGTTTTTAAAGGGCTGCTTTTCTCTTTCCGATCATTCTGAAATATGCAGATGTGAAATATGATGTGTGGGATATTTTTGGAATAATCCTTTGTAGGGAGAGGAAGTTAAGGCAGAGATGAAATATTGTGATAATGGGCTATGAAAAAAAACAGTATTTTGTGACATGTGAAAATTACATGAAATTCAAATTGTGTCCATAAAATAAATTTTTATTGGAAACAGCCACACCCATTTGTTTATGTGCTGCCTATGGCTGCTTTCCCATGGGAATGAGAGGGCTGAGTAGATGTGACAGAGAACACATGGTCCAACAAAGCCTAGGACACATCCCAGGTGGCCTTTAACAGAAGTTTCCCAATATTGCTCAACAGCAGTGCCTTGTCAACATAGTGGTTGCTTGATTTAATTCAGGTTTGCAAGGGGAAGTGGACTCTGAAATGGAGTTTGGTGAGCAAGTTTACTGAGGATTAGTCTAGGAAACCACCTCCATGAGGGAAGGAGGGAAGTAGAAGTTCCCACAAAGGTCTCCGTGCACTTCACTGGAAGTTCTAGAGTCTGGAGAAGGGCTGGTTCCAAAGTGAAATGAGAAGGTTGGCTTTTGAACTCCAGCATCTATCAGAAGGGAGGATAACTGTAGTTGAGCAATTCAGCAAAGGGCAGTTTCCAAAGTGTGCGTATACTGTGAGTCTTCAGCAACCAAACTCCAGGAAACTGTGGAGGAAATGATGTTTCATCTCAAAAGAGGGACCTAGGTGGAACGATCCTTTATGTATTTGTATCTGTAGAGTGAATGAATGTAGTTTTTCATATCATTTTGCCGGAGACATGATCTTGACATGGCTATTAAGAAATGTTATCGATTATTTTAAACATACCACTACAATAGCTGCCATGGATTAATTGCTTGCTCTGTTTCTGGTTCCATGTTAAGCATTTTCATGAATTATTTTGTATAATTCTCAAAATAACATTAGAGCAGAGAAAGCATCTATTTTTAAATAAATGGCAATTTGAATAGAATGTAAATTTGAGTGCATAATACCAAATGGCAAGTAGCTGAACCACACAGAGAAAACAAGGCTTTCCATATCTTCAAATCCAGGTGTTTCATGATAAAGAAAATATTAGGACATCTGGAGAAAGACTTCTTAGGTAAGAAGTGGTGGAAATTAACATACCCTAAAATTATAATTTCTGAAATGGATTAACCAACTTTTTTTTAGAGACCAAGAAAAAGTGCAGAAACCAAATACAGTATGCCAGAAGGATCACAAATGATCCTGTCACGAAGTGAAGGTACAGACATTCTTCACATACTACAAAGGTAGCATCTCTTACATAGACACACACGCTCTTCTTCAAACATATGACACCCTCCAGTAAAATAGTATACCAGTGTGAGCTTATAATTTCAATACAAATCAGAGCCCTATCACTCAGCGCAACAAAAGGGTGTTTAAAAAATTAGCAAGAAGATATTCTGAAGGGAAATAAAGTCTCAAAAGTATTCCTTCATAGAGCTGGGGATTTGGCTCAGTGGTACCAGCACCTGCCTCAAAAGTGCAAGGTCCTGAGTTCAATCCCCAGTACCAAAAAAAAAAAAAAGAAAAGTATTCCTTCATGATTGAGACTGCCTCTGTATAATAAAACATGTAGCTTATACATTCTATCGCGTCTGAACAACCAGTCACTACAGGTATAATAGTGAGGTAGTATTACTGTTTCCTTTTTGGGACTCTGTTTTCATATGCTGTCCTTCCAGAAAGGTCCAAATTTTTTTTTGATTAAAATCAATTACCAATAAATGCATATTTTATTAGACATCTGTTTTTCTAAATCAACCTATGAAAGAACAAAAAGTTTGAATCTTTCACAGATAACTTATTTACAGGTTGTTTTATCAATAAACTCTCCTAGGAACTAGTACCTGCTATGTACAACCACTGTGAAATAGCAGGCAAAGAAAACCATCCCCCCCCAAAAAATCACAGGGCATGAAACACTAATCAATTTAGCAGTTAAAGATAACCTAAGCAAATAACAAATATCCAATAATATAATTATATTGGGATTTAAAAAGTAACCACTAGGCACAAACTATTCTGTTAGATGTTCTAATCTTTTCCATGATTCAAAGTCATCTGCTACATAATAATCAAAGAAATTTGTGAGAGCATCTATTATTATCCCCATTTTACAGGTGAATCAGCTGGACTAAGAAAATTTAAATAATTCATCCAAGGGCACATAGTAGGTGACAGAACTGAATTTTAGTTCAGCTTCATTTAACACGAAAGTTCTAGTTTTTAATCACTGCCATCTGATTTCTTATATTTGTGTAAAGACTGGTTTTCTACTTCAAAGAGAGTCAATTGATTAATCTGTTTACTATGGCATTACTTCACTTTTCCTTTGTAGTGTCTTGCTTTGATACATTGCTTATTTTTTATATTTTGCTCTCTCAAGAACCTAAGCTTTGGGCCGGGGATTTAGCTCAGTGGCACTGTGCCTGCCTTGCAAGCGCAAGGTCCTGAGTTCGATACCTGGTACCAAAAATAAATAAATAAATAAAAAAGGACCTAAGCTTTGATTTATCCAAATGTTTCACCATATTCCAAACATCACTTGCAAATAGTAGGCATCCAATTAATCTTTGTCAAATGGATGAATATATTTTGGTTATTTTGGATATTATATCTGATAGTCAAAGTGAAAGATCATCAATATGAAAACCAGATAATTCTGATTAGAAAAAAGTGACACTGAGGTATCCTCCTTAAGGAGTATGGTAATTGAATAAATTAACATAATTTACTGAAGGTTAGTAAATAGTATAATAAAATGCCTTATAATAAAATATTGTTAGGGCCGGGGATTTAGCTCAGTGGTTCCGCCACCTGCCTCGCAAGCACAGGGTCCCGAGTTTGATTCCTGGTACCAAAACAGAACAAAACAAAACAAAACAAAAAATATATATATATATTGCTGGTTATTTTCCTTTGCTTCTTATGAAATCATTACAAAGCACACTGGTTCATTTTGTTTTCACTGAGTATTTTAGTTTGTCTTTTTTTTTAGTTGGAGCCCTGTGTATTAAGCACATAAATGTGTGATGGTTAATATTGATTTTCAACCTGATTGGTTTGAGCAACACTTGGGTCAGTAAAGCACAGTTCTGGGTATATCTGGAGGCCTTCCTCACTGGCCCTTCAATCAAATCCTCTCTACTTCCCAGCTCCCATGGAGTGAGCAGCTTTGCTCTACTATGCCCATCCACCATGATGTTTCTGCTTTGGGGCCAGCCAACCATGCACTGAAATCTTTGAAACTATGAGCCAAAATAAACCCTTTCTTCTTTTTTTATTTTTTATTTTATTTTATCCCATTCCCCCCCTCAAGCCCCCTCCCCACCCTGTGTACAAAAGCTTTATTTCCATTTTTTCCTTCTATTTTCACTTCTTTTCTTGTCCCTGCTTTCCTTTCTCCCTCCCTCCTCCCTTGTTCCCCTTCCCATTTGAATAGTTTCTTCCCATTTCCCAACATCTATTATACATTTCAGTCCTTATTTCCACTTTTGGTTTCTCACACCGGAGAAACAATGTGGTATCTAAACATGTGTGTTTGATTTATTTCACTTAAGAGTATTGTCTCAAGGTCCATCCATTTAACTATAAATGTCTGAAGCTCATCCTTCTTTATGGCAGAGTAGTACTCCATTGTATAAAAAAACACATCTTCTTTATCCACTCATCAATTGACAGGCATTTGGGCTGTTTCCAAGATTTAGCTATTACAAACTGTGCTTCTGTAAACATGGGTGTGCATATATCGCTGTGGTATGATGCTTTTAATTCTTTTGGGAAGATACCAAGAAAAACAATAGCTGGGTCAAATGGAACCTCTAGTTTTAGTTTTTTGAGAAATCCCCACACTGATTTCCACAGTGGTTGCACCAGTCTACACTCCCACCAACAGTGGAGAAGGGTTCCTTTTTCCCCACAGCTCCTCTAGCATTTGTTATTGTAAACCCTTCATTCTTGAAATTGTGTATGTCAGAAATTTTGTGCCAGCAATGAAAAGCTGATTAACACAAGAGGGAAGATGCAATGTGTGTGTAGACACATCGAAGAATAGGCCTTGTCCT